ACACCAAGGTTTAACTTGGACCTATGTATTTTTCCAACCTCAAATACTATGTAAGATAACCACTTAGATGGATAAAAAATAGCACTCTAGCTTACCAGTTGAAATCAGCAATTTTCAGATAGTTTGCCACTTACTGACCAATCTGGGTTCCTGAGCTCCCTGGAATGATGGGAAAAGACAAAGGGTACAAGGTCATAATCACAAGTGGTTGAAATGGGGAATTTCCATAGTGTTGATGGACTTAATTAGATTTAAACATAAACAGATGTGTGATCCAATGCACAAGGAGACACATCTATGTACTTAGGGGATAACCCCAGAACCAGTTTCCTCTAGGGATCATTAGTTGGAAGATTCCACTCCAGCCAATCAAATTGTCTTACTTGAAAACAATTGGCTGGGTATTTTATTAGATATAGACATCAATGGCAGTCTGATCCAATGCGCAAAGATGCACATCTACTGTATGTGCTCAGGAGATAACACCAGAGCCACTGTTACCTCAGGAGATCAACAGTGATTGGTTAGAGGACTCTACCCAGCCAATCAATGTTTCTTGGAAACAATTGGCAGGGGATTCTGTAGACAATATATGGCAGTCTGACTTGAAATGAGTGATCCTACACACAAGGATGCTTATTTATGTACTTAGGAGAGAGAACTTCAGATAAATTGTTACCTACATTGATCAATGGTGGTTGATGGGAGGACTTCACCGCAGCATCAACTTTTCTTACCTGAGAACAATAGCTAGGGGATTCTACTGAACAGACATTACCAGCAGTCTGATGTGTGATCCAACACACATGGATGCACATCTTTGTCCTTAGGAGATAGCACCAGAGCCTCTTTTACCACAAAGAGATTGGTTGGAGGACTACACCCCAGCCAATCAATTTTTCTTAACTTGAGAACAATTGGCAGGGGATTCTGTAGACAATAAGAGGCGGGTCACTGGTCATATGTGATCCTACAAGGATGAATATCTATGTAACGTAGAAGAGAACACCAGAGCCATTGTTACCTTGAATAATCAACAGTGGTTGGTTGGAGGATACCATCCCAACCAATCAACTTCTCTTACTTCAGAAGAATAGGCAGGGGATTCTGACGTGGTTTACAGATGCCAATAGTCTTTTAATAGAAACATATACACACACTGTACGAGAGTGGAATAGGATCATCCGTTTGAAGCTCGTGATGTACAGGATGGGTCTCTGGGCTGCATATTCAACTTTGTGGTTATTTTGGACACTGCGCATGCACACAGATCATAAATTAAATTTCAGGCATCAGCAAAATCTTTAAAGGAGAACTATGAGGTAAGTGCTTTTCACTCACCTCATAGTTCTAGCCGACCTGTGACAATGAGACTGTCACAGGTCGGCTCAGTAGATCGGGAGGTGAGCGAACACATACCGGCGTTCGCTCACCTCTCGATCCTGTCACAGGGGAGGGGCTGGATTTCCCCCTCCCCGATCCGCCAGCGCTGACTGGCGGAACGGACGGGGGAGGATACAGCTGGATCTGCCTCTAGCTAGGCAGAGCCAGCTGTCAGTCACGCAGCTGGGCGGATCCCGGCATAATTGTCGGGATCCGCTTCAGCTGCGGCGTCTCAGTATACCGCAAGCTACAGCTCGCGGTATACTGAGCCTAGGGTGACGGGAGGACGCTAGTTTTTGTCCTCCCGTTACCCTAAGGAGAACTATGGGGAAAAGCATTAACCCCATAGTTCTCCTTTAAGGTTATCACATGCTCAGAAGGATGCAACAGGAGTGCAATGTTTCTTGTTTCAATTCCGAGACTAATCCAGTTATTACAGTAGGAAGTCTGACCAACTCACCAATCATTTTTAGCACGCACGCTGTACAGGACAGAACCGGGTTCCTACCTGTAGTGAAGCTTGATAAAGCTGAACAGGGATCTACGACACTCAACACTAACAAGCAGATTGGCTCAGACTGTAAACAGCTCCCGACTCATCTGTGTCAATTAATGAGCTGAGAGATGTAAACCGCTGAACTGCATGCTTTTATGAATGAAGAAAGAGCAGTTCACTTGAGCAGAACCAGCTCACTTGAGCAGAACCTTGTCAAGGATTAACACAATCACTACAAAACACAAATAAACAGACACACAAGCCACAAATAGTTTATTTTTTTATTTGTTTCTACAAGGAGTGTAATATAGTACAGAGAGCGCGCAGAGCTGTAACATTTCCAGTCATTCTGTCAGTGTGTCGTCCTGTATATCATGTTAGAGTTCCACAGGCGTCACTAATACCTGAACCCAGGGGCCTACTGCTCACCCCTGTACTACCGAGGAGAGAAAAACGCATGAAGGCTCCGAGTCCCATCATGGCCTCCACATATAACAAAACTCTAATGTCAGTCACCTCCACGACAGAGGAGGAGATAAAAGTGCGCTCTTGCATGACGGGACTATAAAAAAAATAAACTCCCGTCCATTAAACAAGATACTTATTTCCCTTTATCATCCTGGATACACCATTGCCAAGTAGGCCCGTTGTGGTGTTGTATAGTGTGCATGACACAGTGGCAGCCATTTTGTGAGATGAACCAGCATACTTATGAATCCACCAGCAACTGGTGATACATTTGAAGCATGCTGGAGCCATAGCATAAGTCACCAGTCCATCAACACTGTACAACGCAGGGCCACAGTCACTGTTCGGCCGAGAATTGTTGGACTGGCTCCTTTGACAAAAGCCAATTATGGTGCCACGTGGTCAGCAGGACATGGACAAAACTTGAGCCGTGTAAAGCCAGCTTTAGTCAATGCGCCGGCCTATTACTGGGTATATGTCCTGGGACATATGTGAATTGATTGATGACTCACAGACCACTATGGAATTCAGAACCTTGTACATCTAAATCTTCAGCTTTATAAATGGCTGACTGAGTCCCTTTGATAATAAGCCATCAATAGCTGGTAGTGATTTAGGAAGTCTTCTCCCACCCCGAGAGCCAATGGTGCAGACGACACCAGTTCCGAGTGAATTGATAGGCTGCATATCACAATGGCTGCAGTTTATAAGTCCGGATTTTCTTTATTTCCCATACAAACCCCATCCCCAATTTTTAACTGTGCAGTTTATAAAAGGACAACATTAAAAAAGTCACCACAAAAAGGAGAAGAAAAAAAAGTTGAGAGTATATTTAAAATCCTATTGGCCGATACGAGTTGCAGGTTTGCCTATGTCTAGAAAGAATATTGTTAGTTGCTACAATTTATCCTCCTTTATCATCCACATCGAAATTATCTCCCTTTTTCTGTTTTCAAACTATGTACTGGAAGACCGTGAATGGCCAAGCTGGATAGGTTGTGTAAGAACATGCTCTAAAATAAGGTTCAGTAAGCCCCACCCATCTCCTTCCAGAAACCACTAAAGGGGTGAGAAAAGGAACATGTGAATCCTTCATGTAGAAAAGATTTCCCATCTAATGGAAGATTGGGAGATGTGTTATGAATATCAGTGAACCTAATATGGAGTCTCTGACCCGGTCAAGTATAAGTTAGGTACAGCTATAAACAAACGATTCCCAATATATCCCAATACAAATGATGCTACGTTTAGGTTCCATCTCTCGCCATAACATCTATGCTATTCATCAACACCGTCCAGCAGGATTATGGCGCTACTATGGCACATTATTCTACAAAGAATTGGACACATGTGAAGCAAGGTCATAGTTATTAAAGATGAACACCGGGTAAATATGTTTTCTATAGCTTGCATTGGTGCAGCTTCCTTGCATCTAATTCTTCACATCTCACATACGGAGGACCACCGGGGATGCAGAAATTCATTGTAGTAGCCTGTGCTATATACAGTTGGCGCTGGTCTCTTCGATGTGCTGCTCAAACAATTTGCTGTCTGTATACTGAACACATGGGGTCGCTTGCTATGCACCTCCATCATTCAGAGAATGTCTGGTATTTCTTTTTTTGAAAGAATAAAAAGTGCTCCCTGATTGGATGAGGTGGAGATCGTGATTTGATCTGCCCCTCCTCTTTGCCTTGTCAAACTAGAGAATGCCTCGTATTCATTTAACAAAAATAGATGTTCTCTGAATGGCGGAACTGCCAAGAGAGGGACTCCCTGTGCTCAATGTGCACCTGGAAGAGACCACCGCTGATTGTATGTAGCCCAATTTCTGCATCCCCAGCGGCCCTCTGGATGTGATATATGAAGAATTGGATGCATCTAACCTGGACCAATGTAAGTTTTATATATATAAAAAATACATATTTCCCGGCGTTCAACTTTAAAGAACAGACAGGAATTATATTCATCAGACCATCCGAGCCGTTCCTTGTTTCTGTGATCAATGAAGAATGTCTCTTCCTCCGCTGCAGAGATGGATTGCTCCTAGGCATCCTCATCTCTATACACAGTGTATAGAGCGTGATGACACCAGGATCCTTAGACCGCTGCAGCAGAGGGGGAGAGACGTTCGGGACACGGGTCTAAGAACAAGCCGGCTCGGTTGGTTTGGCAAGTATAACTTTTTTTCCGCCTAGCACCTAGACACAAACGAGCACTTAACCCTTGCACTGTAGGGGTCGCCTCACTGCAAGGGTTAATAAAAAAAAATTCCTGCAATTTTCTACAACAAGACCTTACAATAATTGAGACACTTTGAAGGCAAGTGTAAGGTCACGGGGGACCACTTCTCCTCTTCCTCCAACCCTCTGTAAAAGCAATACCGTGTCCCCTCTCCGCGGAAGAACAAATTGCTTCTTTTAAAACTAAACAACAAAAAAAAACCACTGTATAGACTGGAGCGGTCATGTTCACAAGAATACATCTGTTTCTAAGCATGTCACCGAGTGTTCTAAAAACTTGTAAAATTGTTCTCTAACATTTTATATTTCAAAAAGAAGAAACAAAAAGGAAGAAAAAAAACAAAAACTACTGTATCAGTGCAATAAGAAACTGCCACCAGCACCTGGCAGAAGCATTACAAAAATCAGTGTGTAGTGCTCGCCACTGTCCGCTCTGGCCCCTCAGGAATGGTTGCTGTTGATCAGTCCACGGAGCTGCTTGGCCACGGTCTCAATGAGCTTCTGCTTGTCTCTCTCATTCTTCCGGAACTGAGCGAAGACATTGTTCTTCCTGCTAGGGTCTTTCATCCTGAGAAGACAGGAACGGAAGAGTTAAATGGTTGGAGAATTATAGATCAGGAAAGTTCAACTGCTGGCGTGCAAGATGCTATAATGAATGGTTGTTAAACAAGGAAGCTTTAACTAGAGTTTCATACAAACAATGGTAAAGAGTAAATACACATTCCTGTTCTTTATAAGCCAATTGTCACCGTGCAGGTATATTTCTATGCTGGGATTGTTAAAGCTCCCGCTGTACTCTGGCTGCTCTGGATGTAAGCGCTGCAGTATGAGACCTGCAGCGCTTACATCCCGAGCAGCCGGAGTACAGCGGGAGCTTTAATAATCCCACAGACATAGACTCCAGTGCTGTGGTTATGTGTCCACTCCTCTCTACTCCTTATCAGCTATGTGGCACCAGGCTTCCAGGTTGGAAAGCACCGAGCTTTGAGCCCAAGGCATCAAGGACTGATTCCCATGGGGGTGCATCATTAAGCCACCCAGGACTCACAGGAGAATGATGCAGAGAATGGCACCGTGCCATCACATTTTCTGCAGCATTCCAGATCAGCATTCCAGATCAGCTCAAAGTCGAGGACAGAAGTGGAGGAGGAAGAGGACCCAGTACATATACAGAGGTTTGAAAAAAAAATGCAGCTGGGGCTCCGGTGGGTGAATTAGGCTGGAATCAGGCTTTAAACCCTGGATGGTTTATATAAAGGGACATTAAAAGGGTCAGTCCACCCGAAACGGATTCCAATTTTTGTGGAATTTTTAAGATTTTGTAAACCAACTATCAACTATCAGGAGAACTCTGTTGTTGAGATCCATATGCTGAGTTCCCAGATCTGCACACTTGCTGTGCCCATTATGAGGGTCTCCCTCACTCTCCCCGGTGGATTTTATATTTATTTTATATTATGCAGAATGTACAAAGGTGGATGTGCACATCTAAAACTCAGGCAGACAGGAACAGAGTGGGAAATAATGTCAAGGAGATCTCACCATTGAGTTTTCAATACATATTAGAAGTCAGGGGCCTCTTCCCTCTGTGTCCGTCGTGCAGTGCATGATGGGTAAACTCACCATTTTAGGATAAATCAGCAATCAACAACAGAGAACTGGTCAAAATGTTCCAATCTATCGCAACTGACAGGGTTTCTCTTTATATATTTTTTATTGCAATTGTTTACATTCTATACATGGGAGGATTGTGGTACAGCCCTTGCCAAAAATATTGGCACCCCATGCATTTCTGCCAGATAATGCACCACTTCGCACAGAAAATTGTTGCAAATACAAATGTTTCGGCATTCTCATATTTATGTCTAAAAAAAACGAAAAAAAAAACCTACTGTATCAGTGCAATAAGAAACCGCCACCCACACCTGGCAGAAGCATTACAAAAATCCTAAATTCCCTTGTTTATCTTGGCACAGCGTACAAATCGTGGAAGATTAAAGTCGGCGTTGGCTATGGAGAGGTCTTTAAAGAAAATAAAAAATCCAGTCCCTACAGTCACACATGGTGGGGGGTCACTGATGTTTTGGGGTTGCTTTGCTGCTTCAAGCACTGGATGTCTTGACTGTGTGCATGGCATTATGAAATCTGAAGACTACCAAAGAATTCTGGGCTGCAATGTAGGGCACAGTGTCAGAAAGTTGGGTCTCCGTCAGAGGTCATGGATCTTACAGCAGGACAAGCACCCAGAAATGGTTTCAGACAAAGTGCTGGAGTGTACTGGACTGGCCAGCAATGAGTCCAGATCTGAACCCCATAGAGCACCTGTGGAGAGATCTCACAACAGCAGTTGGGAAAAGGAACCTTCCAATCTGAGAGACCCGGAGCAGTTGGTGAAAGAAGAGTGGTCCAAAACTCCTATAGAGAGGTGTAAGAAACTCATTGATGGTTACAGGAAGCCATTGATTTCAGTTATTTTTTACTGGGGGCTGTGCTACCAAATATTAATTGAGGGTGCCAATAATTTTGTCCAGTCCATTTTTGGAGTTTTGCGTAAAATGTGTCAAATTTGGCTTTTTTTTTCTCTCCACTTCTTTGTGTCATTAGAATACAAACAAACTAGGGCTGTGCAAATTAACGATTGATTTCTCGATTAATCGCTAATCTTTTTGATCGATTAAAATAATTTTGGTCGATAACATTTTTTTTGATTGTTAATAAAAACAATGGATCTGTATGTGTGTTATAATTAATCGAAGTTAATCGATTAAAAAAAATTTCGATTAATCGAACACGAAAATTTTAATCAGTAACAGCCCTAATGCAAACAAATTACACATGAGAATGCCGAAACATTCACACGCAACAATTTTCTGCACGAAGTGGTGCATTATCCGACAGAAATGCCGGGGGGG